CCCCAAAACCCCAAAACCCCAAAACCCCAAAACCCCATAATGCATTATAAAAAAGAAATTAAAAGTCTGGTTTTAAATATAAGAATAATGGCTAAGGTGAACTTTATCGTCTCTATCGAAAATTATGATGAATATGAGGATAAATATTTTCTTAATAGGTACAAATTTGCTTTATTAAATAATAATATTAGCCCTCGGTCCTTAGAAGCTTGTAGGAGAGAAGGTATCCTCCCAGAGGAACTAGTAAAACAGTAATTTCAATTTAATAATCACAAAATAGGCCAATTGATGCTTTTGCAGATGCTAAGACCCCAATTAGAATAAAATAAATGCGATACAAATTCTTCGAGAATAAAAGAAGAGGTATTAGATTTAATTTCTCTGACCATATATATTCACGTTAGAGTTGATAAAAATTGTGAAAAGGGAAAGAGATCGGATTATCAGACTTTTGGAAGAAGGAAACGCAGCAGGACAAAAACTATAAATGCTCTCCAAAGATTTATTAGCAATGGAGTCTATTCAAAATGTCAATCAAACTCCTGATGAGTATTTGATGGAAACTATTCCTTCATAGATTTCACCAATTAAAACTCAAAACAAGAAATAACCTCTGTCAATGGATAGGATAAATTCTAAAACAACCACTTAGGCTACTGTGGTAGGGTTACACCATAAGCCAATATCTTAAGGCATTTAAAATAATTTTTATTCATCTGGTAAGTATTTTAATCTTGCTATCTATAAATTATACTCTTTATAGTCGGATAAAGTGGAGGAATACAATAATAAATGATGAATAGCTCAATATCTTAAAGTATACTAGGACCAGGCTATAAAATGATGGGTACTATCTAGGGAAGTGGAAACGCAGGGTCAATGAGTTGAGGACAAACCTCAGCTTTGCATACCAGCAGTATGAGAGGATTTTTAAGCACAAGAATAGTAAATTAAAGACAAAAAGAAGCAATTAAGAAAAAAGTAGGGTAACAGTTTGAAATAATAAAAAGAGCAGAAGAACTTGAAGCAAGAGATGAAGCTTATAGTATTAAGAAATTAATGTATTTGGAAAATGAGAGGAAGCATTCTTGAGATTAAATGGAAGAAGAGCTTGCATTGAATATTAAAATGCAGAGGAACAGAAAGGAAGATCTAAAAATGCAAAAGCAAAAATATATGGAGGAGCTCATATAAGAAATTGAGAGGAAGAATTATGAATAAAAAAGACTAGAAGATATAAGACAGTAAAAAGTAAACAAAATTAAGGAGAAGAATGATAGATTATCAGACATATTGATGAATTATGAGATAAAATAGCTAGAAACATTGTAACATAAATAAACAAAGGTAACTATAATTGAAAATGCTAATAATATAGTTAGAAAGATTGTTTTAAAAATAATCAGAGAAATAGAAATATGTAGAATCTTTCTTGCAAAAAAGGAGGAATGACATCGAAAATTCTAGAAAAGAAAGGGAAGAAAAACATAAAGATGCAGTTAATTAACTATTATAAAAACATGAAGAGAAACGCTAGAAGGTAGAAATAAAAATGGAATAAATATATATGAAACAATCAGGTAGAACACTTCCTGTCTCTACAAAATATCAGTCCACACATAATATAGATCTTAATGAAAAATTAAAAACGACTAAAGAATAGGCGGAGGTTAAGAGAGAACAAAGATTGAATTCAATATACAAAAAAATTAATCATAAAGAGGAATTATTTCAAAAGAATGAATAGTAAAAGCATATGAATCTCTTGATTACCTAGGAAAATTTCTAGTTGAAGGTGAAAAATAAAGAGATTAACAAGGAAAGATAGAAGAGAAAGGAGGATTATTAAAAAGCATTGTATAAGCAAAAACTAAAAGAAGATGATGAGAAGTACTAATCATTTAAGGAATCTAAATAAAAAGAGATTTAAGAAAAGATAAAGTTGCAAGTTAAAAATGAATAAGAAAAGCATATGCTTCAAGAAGTCATATAGGATATGTTTATTAAGAATCAGTATGACATTGAAGCACTAGAGGAAAAAGCAAAAATTATAGAAAGTAATTAGTCACTTATAAGTCAGAGACAAAAAGCTAATCAAAGAAGATCACAGTCCTAACATAAAATTGTTATTTCAAAAGAATCTCTAACTTGGATGGTAGATGTAGAGCCTAAACATTCTAGTGAATACATCAAATATGGCCTGGAGTATCTACAATTTCCAAAAATTTGCAAAACTTGTGAGAAAGATATTTCTAAAGAGAAAATCTACCTTTGTATCTTTTGCGACCTTATATGCTCTTTTTGCGAAAGATGTGGAGGTCCAGGAAAAAATGAGGAGCCACATCTACATCCGACAATGAGCTTAATTCAAGACTTTGACAAATATTCAGAGATTTTAATTAATCCCAATAATTGCCAGGTTGGTGAAATAGACAGCACAAAAGAGTGGAATAGAGAGTGCTACTCTTGTAACAAACTTATTAAAGTAATCATTCATTATTTATATTATCTATTAGAATGGTCCAATGTATTAAAGTTTACAGACAACAATCGATGCGATGATATGTTACGAATGTGAATTCAGACGGCCCCCTGACTCACTGAAAAATGGTCTTTCAGATGCAGCTTACATGAAGCTTGAAAATGATGGTCACTTGAAGATTATTTAATGACAATTTTTAATTTGAATATTAAATTTATAGAGAATTTATAATTAATTTATATAATCTACAATGTCTTACAAAGGAATGAGATTCTGTCGCCAATGCGACAATATGCTTTAACCAAAGGAATAAGTCATTGGAGATGAACAAATAGGACAGCTCATCTACTATTGCAGAATTTGCGGAGAGAATGAGAGAGCCAACCCCCGAAGTGAGACTGAGAACTGTGTATACAAGAGCGAATAGAGCAAGACTGATAACTTCAAAATTGATGTAGAATGTATTAAAGATCCATGTCTCTCTAGAAGAATTGGAAAGGAATGTGCTAAGTGTGGCAACAAGGAGGCTGTTACTTTTACAAACCCAACTAAAGATAGAATGAATCTTATTTTCGTTTGCACCTAATGTACTTATTATTGGAAGAAGGAAGAACTCGATGAGGGTGATGTTCTATCTGGAGGTGAATCAGATTGATTTCCGCAATATAGAGAGACAATATGTTTATATACAAGATTGTAAAGTTTAATTAACGTAGTTTGATAATAATTAAGATTCGTTAATACTTAATAAACAAACAAACTCTTACTTGGGCTTATTATTTATGTATGAAATCAAACTCTGATTAGGTTTGGAGCTTATTGTATGTAGGCGATCATTAGATGTTAGACAGAAGTCTAGTTAACAATTCATCAGATGTGATTGAAAAGTTAAAATTAGTAGGACTATAAAGTTAAATTGATTAATAAAATAAAACTTACTCGTAAAATGCAACTGGAAATTGAGGGATGCAATAATAGTTATTAAATTTAATACGCTTGCTTACTAATTTAGCATCTTACCAGCAAGAATATTATTAATGGATGTCATTATTTTTACAGTTTGACTAAGTTTCGATGTTACTTCCAGAGGGAGAACATAGTGGTTATTATGTATCAGTGCATGAATTAGTAGCTTGGCTGTCCTCATTAGAATGAATTGATTGGAGTCTTTCTTTTTTAATAATTATTGTATTTGGCGTTTTGAAGTTGCTTGCAGAAGTTTCAGCTTCCATTTTTATATTAATTTTTGATTAAGGAGTCATCAAGATGCCTGAACTTGACTAGCTCAGATTTGAATCTTGCCTGATAGGACTAGAAGTGTTGTGTTGAATAATCTTGATGATACCTTTCTTGTCTCTTTTTCTTAGATGGAAAAGAAATTATTGGTCAATTGCGGAAGGAGAGCTATCTCCAACATTTGGCAGAGAGTTAAGGCTGTTGAACTATGTATGCTACTGAGTAGTTGCTTTTTGAATCTGTTTCTTTAGTTTGGAGTTAAATCTGTTCTTAATGGCGTTATCTGTTCTACCAGGAAGATACTTGGCGATTTCGCACCATCTGTTGCCCATCTCCAGGTGCATTTTCATGATTATTGAGTCTTCTTCGTGAGACCACTTTTCCTTTTTGATACTCGGGTCTAGATGGTTGTGCCATCTTTCTCTGCATTACTTACCAATTCTACCTGGTAACGCAGCTGCGATGGTGCTCCAATTACGAGGACCCTGATTCAGAACCATCTTCCTGAGTATCTCATCTTCATCTTTAGTCCAAGGACCCTTTGAAACAAAGCAAGTGTCCTTCAATTCCAGCCATCTATTGAAGCATTAGATTTCAGATCTGTCTCTCATGAACTTGCTGACCTTATTCCATTTTTGATCTCCAAACTTTTCCACATACTTTAGTAACTTGGCATCCTATATAAAAGTTGAGTAAACTGTTGAAATATTTACATCGTAGGAACTCCATTCAATCTTCTTTTTCTAAGATGCAAATAACTTATGCAGAATGTTTGTTGTACTTTGTATTTGCCGCTTATTATTTGAAGCTTGAACTAAGGGGTCTAGCTTCCTGAATGAATGTTCGTTCATATTTTCCTTGTTCTCAGGTTGCTTCTTGATGAAGTCAAAGTTAGTTTTTTATAACTCCTCACTCTTAAGGACCGATAAGAGCATGGCAGTAGACGACATACGTTAGAAGCTGAGGTTGGCGGTGTTTTGGCTTTATATGTTACTTAACATTCAGATATTAAATATAAATACGGTTATGTGCTTAAAAATAAATTTTAATTTCTTACAGTTAACTATTTATATTTTTTAACCTACTCAGCCACATTTTTCTGCACGGGGTTTTGGGGTTTTGGGGTTTTGGGGTTTTGGGG